GGCTGTGCCTGGAGCAGGTGCTCAAGAGATCTCCCCAGGGAAGAGGGGGGGGGGTCCTGGGCTCCGGCCAGGAATCCAGCCTCCTGCTCTCCCCCCCCCCCTTCTCAAAGCGTTTAATGAGGCTTTGTAATTAACTTGGCCCTTCTGCAGATTTGCTTGTTTGGTGAGCTCGAGCCTGTTTATGGAGGAAGGGGAGAGAGAAAGAGCTGATAAACAGAAATCCTTGCAACTCTCAAATCCTCGGCATCGGCCCCTTAGACGCGATTCCGGTTGATTTCTGAGAGGAACCGTAGCTCAGGAATGCAGCTTATTCTGACTGGCTGTGCTCTGGCCCACGAAAGGCCGCAAGACCCTGCCACAGTCAAGAATTGCCACGGGGTGGAGATATAAGGAACCACTGTGGCCGAGTAGTTAGGTCACTGAGCTGGGACACGGGGCTCAAATCCCCACTCGGCCACAAAGCTTACTTGGTCCATTCATAAGAGAGCTCTGCGGGATCAGAGCAGCGGTCGATCTAACCCAACATCTTGCTTCACACAGAAGCCAACTGGGTGCCCTGGAGGGCCAGCAAAGAAGGCACAAAGGCCAAGGTTCCCCTTCCTCCAGTGTCGTCGCCTTGCTCTGAGATTCAGAAGCTGATTGTCTCTGAATAAGGAGGTTCCCTCCACTCAGGGCTATCAGCCACTGATGGACAGAAGTCACTTGTGCTCAGCCTAACCCCCCTCATGGGGCTGTTGTGAGAATAAAATGGGAGAAAGGGAGTGAACAGCAGGAGAGAAATGGATTAGAGAGAGCCAGTTTGGTGTAGTGCTTAAGTGTCCGGACTCTAATCTGGGAGAACCGGGTTTGATTTCCCAACCCTCCACATGCAGCTGCTGTATAACCTTGGCCAAGCCATAGTTCTGTCAGAGCTGTTCTCTCAAGGGCAGTTCTCGAGAGAGCTCTCTCAGCCCCGCCTACCTCACAGGGTGTCAGTTGTGGGGAGGGGAAGGAGTTTGTAAGCCGCTCTGAGACTCCGAGTGAAGGGTGGGGTATAAATCCAATCTCTTCTTCTAATACACTAAGCGGTTCCTTGCAAATCAATACGATTTCCAGGAGCCAAACAATGGTTTCGCTTCAGCTTTCCACAATTAGCATCCAAGGCAACTCATGATTATATAGCAATCTATTTATAAGACGTAATGCATAAACCAAAACACATTCCCTGTCGCCAATTTAAAAAATAATCCGACAAAGGAGTTTGCATCCAAGGAGTGTGGCCACAAGTAGTTTCCCCCAAGATTCAAAAATCCACCCCGTACATTTTTATCCCACCCTTTCTCCAAACAGCTCCAGGCAGCTTACATCGTTCCCTTCTCCTGCATTTTATCTTCACAATAATGGTGTGAGGCAGGTTACGCTGAGAGAGTGTGACCGGCCAAAGGCCACCCAGTGGACTTCATGGCAGGGGGAAGAAGGGACTTGAACTCAGGTCTCTCCGATTCTAGCCCGGCACTCTAATCACCACGACATTGGTACAGAAAAACAAGGTTGTTCTCATCTGCCAAAGGATGCATGGAGACATACTTTAACAAAAGAGGTTTACTGTGTTGGGTTAATGTTCTGTGTGGCTACTGCATATTAGGGAAATGAAGGCTGATAATCTGACATTTGTGTTTATTCATTTATACCCCCCCAACCATCTTTCTGTGTCTGGGGCAGTGATGCTCTGTATTCTTGGTGCTTGGGGGGGGGCAACAGTGGGTGGGCTTCTGGAGTTCTGGCCCCGTTGATGGACCTCCTGGTGGCACCTGGTATTTTTGGTCACTGTGTGTTGCAGAGTGTTGGACGGGATGGGCCACTGGCCTGATCCAACATGGGCTTCTCTTATGTTCTTAGACCATTCGCTTCTCCTCCATTTTATCCTCACAACATCCCTGTGAGGTAGGTTAGGCTGAGAGTGTGTGACTGGGCCAAGGTCACCCAGCAGGCTTCCACGGCAGAGGCAACATTTGAACTTGGGTCTCCCAGATCCCACTCCAATGCTCTAACCACTGTACCGCACTGCGTTTCACAGCAACAAGCCACTCCACTGTTACCACCCCTTCCTACTGAGTCCCCATGGCTGCTCATCCAGGGTGGGAGGCGGCTGTGGAGCACTTTTCTTGCCCGCAGCAGATGGCAGAAGCACCTCTGGGGAAAGCCAGCCAGCCTTCCCTTCATCCTCAGTCTCCTCCTCCTCCTGCTGGGAAAGTTGCAGCCACAACCTCCTCCCATCTCAGGCAACCTGCTGTGGGACCCTCTCCTCCCGAGGGGCACTTGTGATGAAGCAGCCAGCCACAAAGAAGTGCAGCTGTAGCTTAACCAACATTCGATACGCTCGGTACGCCGCGGCTGGACACAGAATTCAGAGAGCATCTGCAACACCAACTCTCTGTCTTGCGCCAGACACAGAGCTGTGCGCATCCTGGGCTGGACCGGTGGACCCGTTTTGCTAACGGCAGCCCCTTTCCCTGCTGCAAGGAGCTGCACCCTGACCTAGTTGGCCCAGGTTAATCCGATCTTGTCAGATCCGGGAAGCTAAGCAGGGTCAGCCTGGGGTAGCACTTGGATGGGAGACCACCAAGGAAGTCCAGGGCCGCTACACAGAGGCAGGCCATGGCAAAACCACCTCTGAAGGTCTCTTGCCTTGATAACCCCACCAGGGATCGCCATAAGTCAGCTATGACTTCGTGGTGGTGGTGGGGGGGAGAGGCACCAGTCACATGTCCCTGGACAGGGTGTTCCAGAAGCACAGACCTACAAAAAGGCCCGTTCTGCTGCCTCCGCCCAGCTTTTCGCAGCACGCAGAGGGAAGCTCTGAGGCAGACCAAAGCGAGTGGGCAGCTAATGGGAGCAGGAAGGCCTTCAAAACAGCAGCGTGAGCCTGCAAAGTCCGCTGCCAAAGATGAGATAACAGGGCGCTGTTGATATGCTGTTCTTTCAGGAAGGCGAACTGAGCCCGAGGGCTGGGTTGGATGGGCGTCCTCTGCCAAGCCAGGCCGGGCCCTCCTGCTCCCTCTGCTAGGAATCTGCAGCTGCTGACGCCCACCCGGGGTGCAGGATGCCCTGGGCTGGGTTCACACAGACTGGCAGATCCCATACATACATTGACCTGAAGGAGCGGCGTTCTGAAATTCCAAATCGAGGCTGGAAGTATGTGGCACAGACCTCCATATGGAGCAGTTGGTAAGGGCGCTACATGGTGCTCCCCTGATAGCCCAGCTTGCTCTTTTGTCCTCAGTGTCTTGCGTGGCGCAGGAACAGATGTGAAGCAAGCCTCACAGCAAAAGGGGGGGGGGAGTCCTGTGTGGCACTGTTGGATTGGGGCCAAAGGCGCAGAGCCGAAGCAGGATCAGGAAAGCTAAGGGCACATAAACTAGAGTGGATCTAGAGGAGGTCCAGGGCGGGTCATGAGAACCTAACAGCATCTTCTGTGAAAAAGGTCCCTCTCACCTAGCATCCTGTTTCCAACAGTGGTCAGCCAGAGCCAGATGCTTCTGGGAAGCCCATCAGAAAGGCCAGAAGGCGAGAACCCTCCCTGCCTTGCACTGGACAGCAACAGATATTCAGGGGTAGACTGCCCTGAAACATGAAGGTTCCATTTAAGCGATCGTAGATGACCATTCTTGGATCTCTCCTGTGTCTGGTCCCCATTTAAAGCCATATGAGCCAGTATTTACAAACACAAACTGGGGCAGTGAACTCTGTCATTCGAACAAGGGCTGTGCAAAGAAGTACTTTTATTCGGCTGTGCAGCTGGAGCGCAGGGAAAAAATCTCTAGTGCAAAGCGAACAGCAGGAAGTGAAAACAGAGCAGGTAGTAGGGGATATAAAAGACCTCCAAGCTGAGACTCTGCAGTGCCACTCCCAGTTAACGGAGACAGTACAGAACCAGACCGGCCAAGAGTCTGACCCAGCAGAAAGCGGGTCTGTGCATTGGCCAAGGCACAGGCACAGAGCTCTGAGCCACCTCTTCTACTTTCTGTTGAGCTGGGGCTGCTAGAAGACTGGAGTCAGAGAGAGCGTCAGGGTCACTGTGGAGCAATTCCTGGCACAGCACATCCCTCCCATGTCCCTTTACAGAGATGGGCCACGAATCAGTGGTAGAGCCTCTTGCTTGGCACGCAGAAGGTCCCAGGTTCAATCTCCAATTATCCCCAGTTACAAAGGACCAGGCAGCAGGTGACGTGACAAACCTCAGCCTGAGACCTTGGAAAGCCACTGCCAGTCTGAACAGACAGCAATGACCTCGACAGACCCAGCGTCTGATTCAGGAGAAGGCAGCTTCCCATGCAGGGGTGTCAAACTCATTTGTTACGAAGGCCGGCCGGATCTGACATAAACGTCACTTTGTCAGGCCGGGCCATGCGTGCCGTAAAATGTAATGCCAAGCGCCGGAGGTATTTCACCACTGACCATGACCCACGCCCCACCTCAGCACCTAACCAACCACCCTTTGCACAATATGCACAAGACGTTTCGCACAGCACCCAGAGACCTACTGCCTGACAATCAAGGTGCAATAACCAGAGGCTCTCGTGACCCTTTAAAGACTCACACATTTCAGATGCTTTTGCCAACTCCAGGTTGGGCAATCCCTGGAGATGGGGGGGGGGGATTCTGGGGACAGGCCACATTTGAGAAGGGAGGGACCTCAACCGGGGGTATAATACTGCAATATATGCTCTTCCAGTCCACATTGTGATGTTTTTCGCAGTGTCAAGTTCCCCCCTGCCTGCTCCGGGCCATGCGTGCCGTAAAATGTAACGCCAAGCGCCGGAGGTATTTCTCCACTGACCATGACCCACGCCCCTCCTCAGCATCTAACCAACCACCCTTTGCGCAATATGCACAAGAAGTTCCCCCCCCCTCTTGCAGTGCAGCATGGGAATTCCCAGAAACAGGGAAGTAATGCTGCGGAGCAACAGGGAACAAACTGCGTTTTTGTGCGTAGGGACTGAGCCCTACGGGGGAGGGCGGGGTATAAATTTGATAAATAAATAAATAAAACATCAGTGGAAATGAGGGAAAGCAGCAGAGGAATACAAGTGCAGGCGTGGGGAAACCTGACACTGCGGAAAACCTCTCTGACTGGTTCCCCTCCAGGTGCTCGTGGGCCGGATAAGAGCCCTGGACGGGCTGGTTCTGGCCCCTGGGCCACATGTTTGACATGTCTGGAATAGGGCAATGGCTCAGGGGTAGACTCCCTGCCTTGAGGCAGAGAGTGCAGATTTGGTCCCTGGTATGTCCAGCTGAAAAAGTCTCACGCAGTGGCTCTTAGGACAGATCCTCCTGGGCCACGAACCCTGGAGAGCTGCTGCCAGTCAGAGGAAGTGATATTTAGCTAGATGGTCCAAAGATCTAAGGCAGCTTCGCATATTCACGAGCCACGCATTCGGCAGCTGCTCGTGTGGCTACACCTCTGGGAAAGGCACTGTTTCTTTCTCAAACCAGGATGCCTCGCCCCTGCAGTTCTGAAACGCATCCTTTGCCTGTAGCAACAAAAACTCTGCCTACGAACTCCCTTGCAAAGTCCTGCAAAGAACTGGGCTGTTCAAGAAGGCTGCAGGCAATATTCGCTCAGGCCCGATTTTCCTGCCCCCACTGGCCTGGCCTGCAAACAGAGGGAAGGGTGAGAAGGAGCCCTAAGGGACCTTCCGGCCCCCTTCCCAGTCTCCAGTTATGGGTCGGCCAGGAGCATACAACTGTACCCTGTGGGGTGGCGGTCAGACAGGGTGAGAAGCAGGATCCCTGTGGCTCTAACACCTGGAGCTCTGAGCCCCGGCAAAATAGACTTCTTTCCCTCCACTGTTTATTTTTGTTTTAAAGCAGTCCTTCAAGAACAGATGAGTCCCTCGTGCACGCTCAGTTGCCATTTGCTAACCTCTGGCAGCCAGCCAGCTGCGGGGAATATTTTCGGTCTGAAACTGGATTTCTCGCGGCTGTCAGAACAATTACGCTGCGCCTCTTTAATTACAGAGCACGCGTCTGCTCCCCTCCCCTCTGCCTTTCCCCCGCCCCCCCAAGCTCACCACTGCCAACTCCCTCCGGGGTCCTTCTCTCCCCACCCGGCAATGCATGCAATAATGGCAGTTGTAACCCCCTCTACTGGCTACTGCCACAAAGAGCCTCCTCGCAAGATTCCTCAAAGGCGCTTGGAAGTTTCCGGAGTTTTCCGGCACAGGAAGGAGAAGGTGGAGAGCACTGTGCACAACTAGCAGCCCTCGAGTAGGAACTTGCCCCAACACTTTCCCCAGTGACAACCCCAGGATCACCATTAGGGGGGGGGCAGGATTTGATCCTGCAGATCTCTTCTGCCTCAAGGCTCCTTGAATTGTGAGAAGGGGACCACTGTAGTGGAACAAAGACACATGATCCAACCCTTTTTTTTTTTTTTTTTTAAAAAGCCAGTCTACGTTTTCAGTTGTAAGGAACAACAAATATTTTGAGACAGATTCTGCCCTCTGATGCCACGTCTCAGTTCAGAAGTTGTATGCAATGGCCTGTCTTTGCCCAAGCACATGAGGTTCATCACCACTTCTGCAGGATGTGCACACACACACACACTTATAGCCCTAAATGGTCCACAGCTAGAGTACTTTAAGGGTAGTAGTTTTCATACAGACCTACACAGGCATCAAGTCATCTTCAGATGACATCTGTGTGCACCCCCAGCATTAGGGGGTGGGTGGTGGACTGCAAAAAGCAGGGCCTTATCAACACTAGCACCACATCTGTGAAATTCACTCCTGAAGGAGGTTTAGGCCTCCTTTTCCGTTATGCTTTTGCCCTCTGGGATTCAGGAACCGAATTGTTTGTTCTCTAGACCGCCAATTCTACGTGGCTGGTTGTTCTTTTTAGAGCTGCTGCAGTGGCTGAAGCAATAGACTATGATTTGGAGAGACCTGAATTCAAATCCCCACTCAGCCACAAATTACCAAGCTAACCTTGGGGCCAGATGCCATTTCTCTGCCTCAATCGGGTTGTTGTGAGGAGAAAAAACGAGGAAGAGGAAACTTTGTATACTTCTTCCTGAGAGGAAAGGGTAGGATTAAAAAAAAAAAAACTGTGAAACCCAGATAAAATTAGTCACTCAATGGCTATCCGCCTTGCGGATGAGTAATTTTATGGCTGGTTTCTGGCTGTTTTGCCTCCCTTCAAGGATTTTTGTTTTGGCTGGGCTGTTTCACATTTTGTTGTCGGCTGCCCTGAGGATCCAACAGAGAACAAATAGGCAGGGTACAAACGTTGTCAATAAATAAAAAGGGTAAGTATGGGAAATGCGCTTCTGAACCGTGTACCATCGCCGAGAGAAGCTGAATGACCCCTGGGCATACAACAGCCACCCCTAGCGCAGCAGACAGCAAGCCAACACTCCCGAAGGAGTGCCCCTGTGGGGCAGAGACCTGGAAAGAAAGTGCCTCAGGAATGCATGTTTCAACGGGCCACCTCTGATTTTCGGCAAGGTGGCCTGTGTGGAAAGACAGTACGATTGCCTCAAGGGCTAGAAACTCAAACTGGCCGATGGAATTCTAAACCCAAGTACTTCCCAAAATCACCCAGCTGGACAGACAGAGAAACCTTTGCAAAGGGAAAGGTTACAGACTGGAGACGTTCCTCCCTCTTGGTATGGGGCAGTAACCCCACTGTAAGGCATTCCCCACCCCATCAGAGAAGCACACACCGCTCGGGACATTACTTGTTTTGGAAGGATGTTTTATGGTCAGCCAGCACCACTCCAGGAATCTCCTTGAGCTTCAGGAATCTCTGGAAGGATGACGGCGGGAGAGCCTGGGTTGAACCGATCTCCTGCACTTCCACCCCAGTGCCACTGGTGCTGCTCCTCAACGCTGCCACCATCCTGCCAATCTGAGAAGCAAAGGAGAACATTGGTGTTGGCAAAGGTTTACACCCAAGCCCTCTACTGAAAGACCATGAGCTTATGCACCTCAGTTAGTACAGTTTTACACATATTTCAGTCCGTATAAATGGATGAGACCAGAAGATCACACCCAGCTGGACAACTGACATAGTTTAAGAAGAGAAGAAGAAGAAATTGGATTTATACACCACCCTTCACTTGGAGTCTCAGAGCGGTTTA